TAACCCTCCGACTCTTGGCATGCCAACTATACCTATTGTAATACCCCAAATATTAAGTCGGGGACTAAATTTAAAAGAATTTAAAATTTGATGATTTAATTGAATAATTGGTAAAAGATGAGCAAAAGATTTGAAATAGTATCTTGAACTAAATTGTAACAATAAAGGAGTTAAGAGGGCATTTTGGTCTTTTGAGAGAAAAAAATGAAATTTAAAAATAGTTAGGGATTTTTTTAAATAGGAAAAAAAGAGGAAAGTAAGTGTATTTTCTACATTTCTTCTTCTTCTTTTTCTTCTTCACGTGGGTGCCCTCTTCTCCCTAACATAAGGTAAATTCTTCTTAGCTAGTGTTTTCTTTAAATTATGGGTTGTTTTGGTTATGTTAAGTGATATATGTGCATAATAATGGATTAATGAAGATTAAAGTCATGAAATGGAGAAAATATTGGTGATTTTAGAAAATGTGTTTTGAAATGAAATGTTAGTATATTGGTGTTTATTGAGGTTTATTGGTAGATTTGACTTACCAAAGAGATAAATGAGAGATTAGAAGTATTAGATGGGTTAAAGAACATATTAGAAAAAGTAGTCTGATTATTAAAAATTGAATGTTCTTGAATGATTTTAGATGTTCTAAGAGGCTAAATGAGGGAATATTAGTATGGATAGTTAAGGAGGAGTTTAATAGAATTTTTAAGGGTAAATGAGAGGCAAATTGGCCAAATTTAGGTAAATTTCGAGTGAAAAACTGGAAAATCTGGGTAGGGGTATCGGTACCCTATGGAATAATACCGATATCCTAGGCAAGAATTAGGCTAAATTATATAAGAGGTATCGATACTGATTCAACCAGTATAGGTACCCAAGCAATGTGGTATCGATACCATGGTAAGGGTATCGATACCAATAGACATAGAATCTAATTTGGGTATCGATACCTATAGGGGGTATCGGTACCATAACATAGGGGTATCGATACCATGGTGAGGGAATCAATACCAGAGGGCCAGAACTATTAAATTTTAGCTAATAATGTTGAAGGAGATTAACAATAAATTTTTTGAATAATGTTAAGTTACAATTGTTAGGAAACATACTAACAATTAATATTATACATGTCTTTAATGAATGTGGAATAGATCACAAACAAGCTCCTGAGTCGAGTAAGTCGAAAGGCAATGGCCAAGTTCCGAAATAATTATCTTATCCTTTTTTGATATCTAAGCAAGGCAGGCCAGGTGAGTATATTCATTGTATAGAATCAATACAATTAAAATGTTTAAATTGTAAAGTATGTTTTACAATATTTACTAAGTTTTATTTAAGGTATGAAAAGAATTTTATTAATAAGTTCTAGAGTATGAAATGCTCTAAAACTAATGAATAAAAGAATAATGCATATGGGTGCATTAGTGGCATGAAATTATGCTTTAGCTGATATGTATATGGGTACATTATCGGCATAAAAGAATAATGCATATGGGTGCATTAGTGGCATGAAAGGATGCCTTAGATGATATGTATATAGGTACATTATCGGCATAATAGAATAATGCATATGGGTGCATTATTGGCATGAAAGGATGCCAGAGTTGAAATGCATATGGGTGCATTATCAACAAAAAAGTATACTAGAGTTGAAATGCATATGGGTGCATTATCAACAGAAAAGTATGTTAGAGTTGAAATGTATATGGGTACATTATCAACAGAAAAGTATATTATAGTTGAAATGTATATGGGTACATTATCAACAGAAAAGTATACTATATTTGAAATGCATATGGGTGTATTATCAACAGAAAAGATGTTAAATTTTAAAATGCATAATGATGTATTATAAATATAAATGGAGGTTATAAACTAAAGAAAGAATCATGGCAAATATGATAAAGGGGAATGGTCATTATTAATGCAAATAAAGATGAACAATCAAAGGTTATGACAATTTCAATATATTAAGTGTATGAATTTTCGTATAAAAATATATGTGTATGAACATAAGAATTTCATAATAAGAAAAATGGACCTATATATTGGTAATGGGTATGCCAACCACATAGATTATTGAAATGGTTGAAGAATAACTGTATAAACACTGTTTGTGCATCTTAATAAATGAACAGAAATAAGAAGTTGGTAAATTACCATGTGAGCATTAAGGGTGCAAATGTATAAGGTTTATAATAAATTAAAAGTGAGTTAATTGATATGAAAAATAAGTATTAGACTATAACTATTTCAAAATAAAAGATGTAATGACCTAGTTGTCCAATTGACAAAAAGGTGTAAATTATGCTAGTTAGATGAACAGTTAAGTACCGTTGAGTAAAAGAATAATGGTCTAACTGTGCAATTGGCAGAAAGGTGTCAATTATGCCAGCTAGATAAAGGGTTAAATACTGTTGAGTAAGACAATAAATGAATTTTAATGTATTGTGATATGAATGGGGCATAAGTGATATGAAGTGATAATATATATATATATATATAATGTATAACCACGCATAATTGGTATGGAAGAATGTCATAAATGAAATGTATAATAATATATACAAGTATGAAAGAATACCATAATGGAAAGGGGTATAGAGGTGTATTATAAGCATAATGGGATGCTATCAATGAAAATAAAGGTTTAGGATTAAAGAGATAAATAGAGAAGAAAAATATAGAGGAACATAGGTATGCTAGGCATACTAAAATACTTAAGATAATTGTGAATGAAATACAATTTAAATGAGGAGGATCATAGAATCCTTAAGGAATATATGATTTAGTTCAAATTAAATAAAAAGGACATACTTATGTATACACAAAGGGTAGGACAATCTTATTCAATTTAAGATCTTAGTTGGCATATAATTAAATTATAGTAAATATTTTTGTAATGTAATTAAGTAAATATTTAAGTATGTTACTTTCAAAAATATCTTATTTTGTGGTAAATCAAATTAAAAAAAATTACGGGTTTTCAAATGACAAACATTATTTTAAAAGTGATGTGACATTCATATCTCGTGTACAGAAGGGTATATGGGAGATGGGTGTTACACCTATAGCTCTCATATCACATAACATGGGCATTATCATTATATTTCATACATTCATATAACCATAATTTCACCACATAATCATGAACTCATGTCATTTCTCTTATAATCATATATTTCTTCTTTTCTGTCACATATCACATCTACATATGACCATCAATGTCATATCATATAATATATGTTATTTAAATATGTTCACATGAATCATATAGTATGTATCAAATCATATAAACATATATAACTCATGCATGTTTTTGTAATGATCATAATATATGCATGTTCATAACTATTGGACCATGAAGACTAACATAGGAAATAGACTTATCACAAGTCTTATTTCCATTTAACTATACCTATAGTATGCACTCACCTTAGTCTCACTTAAATTCTAAATCCACTTCTATGATTTTATCTCTTTGGATCGATCCTAACTCTGTGGTTGTTCCAGAACTTGCTTGTGCTCGATATCTACACAATCATACATATTATATACATATCAGCATTCTAATATTATAATTCGATCCTTAATTTCTTAGACCAAAAGAAAGACTTAATTCCATTTTCTACTTGGGGTAGTATCGGTACCCCCTGTAGGGTATCGATACCCACTTTGTATTCTGTAATCCTTATTTAAAAAATGGTACCGATACTAACCTTATGGTATCGGTATTCTTGGTATCGATACTACCTTCCAAGTATTGATACCCCATGAATGCCTTGGACAAATTCATACTTATGGTATCGATACTGTTCGACCAATATCGATACCTCTATACCAAAAGTCATTATTTTACTCTTGAAGTATCGGTACTGGATGAAACAATACTGATAGCCATAACTCAGATTTCTCTTTTTAAACCCAAATATTTACCCTTATCGGCTTAAAACCTTCATTTTTTATTACTTTTTATACTCTTAACTAAATAACACATACTCAAACCAATTTTATTCATCTAACACATCTTTATCTTCAAAATCTCCTCATCTATCTTGAATTTAAGAATTCTACTAAATTTCCAACATGTTCTAATTTCCATTCTAACACTTCATATTTCTTATTTCAACTAATGACAAGTCAAATTTAGTTTCAAATTCTACTTATCAACTCTTTTCCAAGGTTTCATTTAGAAACTCATTATCTTTAATCCCTCATAATTTCTTCATCTTATAGTTTTAAGATAACTTAAGCTTTTCTTAAGTTAAGTATCATATAAGGATAGAAAATCAAACTTAATTTCAACCAATAATCAACTCACAAGAAAACTCACATTTGCTATGGTAACTCACGACTGGGAGAAGAAGAAGAAGAAGAGCTCTCTAGATATTTCATTTCCTTTTTTTTTTCCATCTCCACGTGTATATATCTCTTCCATATCTCATTTTTAATTCAATAATTGATCAAATGACCATTTTGACCTTCTATCCATCATTCATTACAATTCAACCCTACATAGGATTTTTCATATAAGTCCCTGAACTATTCAATTTATCTACTTTAGTTAATAAATTATGAAGTTTTATAATTTGGTCACTAACCCGACATTGAGGATGTTACAATTTTTCCCCTTAAAAAATTCGTCCTCGAATTTTACTGCACAAAAAGATGGGGGTGTTGACTCCTCATAACCTCTTCACGCTCCCATTTTGCTTCTTCAATCATGTGATTTCTCCACAATACTTTGACCAATGGAATAATCTTGTTCCTTAATTATTTCACCTTATGAGCTAATATTTGGACCTGTTCTTCTTCATAAGTCAGATCAGACTGAACTTCTATTTTCTTTGGTGTCACAATAAGGGAGGGATCGGATCTATATCTTCGAAGCATTGAAACGTGGAAAACATCATGAATTTTCTCCATTTCAGGTGGCAAAGCTAATTGGTATGCCACTGGTCCCACTCTATTAACGATCTCATAGGGTCCAATAAACCGAGGACTAAGCTTACCTTTTCTTCCAAATGTCAACACCTTCTTCCATGGAGACACCTTTAAGAATACTTTATTTCTAACTTGAAACTTAATTTCTTTCCTCTTCAAATCAGCATATGATTTTTGTCTATTAGCTGTAGCTTTCAGATTATTTTGAATCACTTGAACTTTCTCTTTCAGTTCCTGAGTCAACTCAGGACCAAGAACTTCTCGGTTCTTAAGCTCATACTAGTTTAAAGGCGTACGATACTTTCTTGCATATAGAGCTTCATAAGGAGACATTTTTATACTTGACTGGTAGCTATTGTTGTAAGCAAATTCGGCAAGTAGCAAGTATTTTTTCCCACGATCCCTTGAACTCAATTATACAGGATCTCAACATATCCTCTAGAATTTGAATAGTCCACTCGGACTGTCCATCCTTCTGAGGATGAAACGTTGTGCTAAAGTTTAATCGAGTTCCTAATGCTTCATGCAAAGTCTTCCAAAATCTCGATGTGAATCTAGGATCTCTATAAGAAATAATCGAAACATGTATCCCGTGTAATCGAATAATCTCCCAGATATACAATTCAACATACTTATCCATGGATAAATCATTTCTTACTAGAATGAAATGAGCTGATTTAGTCAATCTATCCACTATTACCCAAATTGAATCTCTTTTATTTGGAGTCAATGACAACCCTGTCACAAAATCCATTATCACATTCTCCCATTTCCATTGAGGAATAGACATTGGTTGCAATAGTCCTGATGAAACCTGATGCTCAACTTTGACTTGCTGACAAGTCATACATTTGGACACAAATTCTGTAATACCCCAAATATGAGGTCAGGAACTAAATTGAAAAGAATAAAAATTTGATGGTTTAATTGAATAATTGTTAAAATATAAGAAAATGATTTGGAATAATGTTTTGAACTAAATTGTAGCAATAAAGGAGTTAAGAGGGCATTTTGGTATTTTAAGAGGAAAATGAAATTTAAAATTTGTTAGGGATTTTAAATAGGAAGGAAAGAGGAAAGTAAAGTGCATTTCTACACTTCTTATTCTTCTTATTCTTCTTCACGTGGGTGTCCTCTTCTCCCTAACATAAGGTAAATTCTCATTAGCTAGTGTTTTCTTTAAATTATGGGTTGCTTTAATTATGTTAAGTGATATAGTGATATTTAAGCTAAAGGGAGGGTTAAATAGAATTAAAACAAAGTTATGGATAAAATATTAGAGATGAAAGAAAATGGGTTTTGAAATGATATGTTAAGATATGAGTGTTTATTGATGTTTGCTATTAGTTTTGACTTGTCAAAGAAGTAAATGAAAGATTAGAAGCAATGGATGCGTTTAAAACAAGTTAGAAATTGTGTTGTGATTCTTAGAATCAAATGCTCTTGAGGAATATTGGATGTTTTAAGTGTCTAAATGAAGAAAAAGAAGTAGGGTTAAGTAGAGAAGTGTTATACAGTAATGTTAAGGGAAAATGAGAGGAAAATTGGCCAAAGTTGGGTAAATTTTGGGTTGAAAACTGGAAAATTTGGACAGGGGTATCGGTACCTATAGAACAGTACCGATACCATAGGCAAAAATTAGGAAAAATCATCTGAGAAGTCAGTATCAGTACCTAATGAAGTGGTATTGATACCATGGTGAGGGTATCGATACTTGATAACATTGAATCTAATTTTGGTATCGATACCATATAGGGGTATTGGTATCATAGTATAGTGGTATCGATACCTACGGTAAGGGTATCGATACCATGCAACATCGAACCTATTTTTGGTATCGATACCTGAAGGGGGTATTGGTACCGTAGTATAGAAGTATCGGTACTAGGGTAGTAGTATCGATACTATGGAGCCAAAAATATCAAACTAGGCTGATAATGTTATAGAAAGTTAATGATATGTCCTTTTTAGTATTGTTTAAGTATAATTGTTAGGAAGAATACTAACAATTGATATCGTATATATCGTTATATGGATGCTTGAGTAGATCGGAACCATGCTCTGGAGAAGAACAAAACAAAGGGTAAAGGCAAAATACCGAAGTAATTAGCATTTACGTTTTTGGATACATAGCAAGAAAAATCAAGTGAGTACATTTTTATTGTATGCAATCTAGATGAAAATGATTAGCAATCATTTAATATGAATTGTTTAATTGTTAATGTATGTTTTACTATAATTACTATGTTTTATTGAATATATGGAAATGATATTGGGTATGAGTTCGAGTATGAAAATACTAATGCATATGGGTGCATTATTAGCATGAAAGGATGCCGTAATTGTAATTTATATGAGTACATTATCAACAAAAATGTATATTATAGTTGAAATGTATATGGGTACATTATCAATAGAAAAGTATGCTAGAGTTGAAATGCATATGGGTGCATTATCAACAGAAATGTATGCTAGAGTTGAAATGCATATGGGTGCATTATCAACAGAAGAGCATGCTAGAGTTGAAATGTATATGGGTGCATTATCAACAGAATGATATACTATGGTTGAAATGTATATGGGTACATTATCAAAAGAAAAGTATATTATAGTTGAAATCCATATGGGTGCATTATCAACAGAAAAGATGTTATAATGTAAAGTGCCTAATGGTGTATTAAAAACATAAATGGAGGTTACAAATGAAAAGAAAGAAATCCTACTAAGGGTATGAATTTTTGTATTGGGAACTTTGTGTGCTAAAAGGCAAGAAATTCATAGAAATTCATACTAAGTGTATGAATTTCCGTATGGGAAATATATGGGTATAACATAAGAACTAAATAATAAGGAAATGGATTTTTTTTAGTAATGGGTATGCAAACCACACAGATTTTTGAAATGGTTGATAAATGATGATATTAGCACTAGGGATGTAAATTATGGAATAATTACTGAATTGAGAGACCTCGTAAAAGATGAAATTATCAGAAGTTTATAATAAAAGGGTAAATTATCGTAATTCTATTGGAGGAATAATTCATGAAAAATTATAGAAAAATTTAGGTATTATTGCACTGACAGTATAAGAATAATCCATAGAATTTATAATGATGGAAAAGGGTTAATTGATATGATGAATGATTAATATAATAGAGACTACTCAAAATATAAAAGATCTTGAGGCCTAACTGTGCATATGATAGAAAAGTGTCAATTATGCCAGTTAGATGAACGATTAAGTACCGTTGAGTAAAAGAATAATGACCTAGCTGTGCATTTGGAAAACATTTGTCAATTATGTTAGTTAGACGAACGTTAAACACTGCTGAGTAAGAGAATAAAGGAATTTTTAATGTATTTTGATATGAAGGGATGATATGTATATAGATATATTGTACAACAAGGCATAATTGTATGAGCGGGTGTTATAAATGAAAAGTATAATAGTGTATAAAAGACCTGTAAAGATGACATAATTGAAATGCATATAAGTGCATTATAATCATGAATGGATAATATCAGTGAAAACGAAGAATAATGATTAAAGAGATAAATGGAAAAGAAAATGTAAAGGAAGATAGGTATGCTAGGCATACGAAAAAGAATTATGAAAATTGTGAACGAAATATGGTTTAAATAAGGAGGAGTATGGAATACTTAAAGAATATACGATTTAATACGAAATAAATAAATGTGACATATTTATGTATAATCAAAGGTTACGTTATATTATTATGTCTCACTAAGTAATTAATTAACGTGTGTTTATTTCATGCATAGGTAAAGGCAAGGATTAGGGCGTAAGAAGTGTAGCAGTAGTAGCAGTTTGCATTAATTAAAGGTTGACCCTCAGTAATATTATGACAATCTTATTCAATTTAAGAACTTAGTTGGCATGTAATTAAATTATGGTAAATATTTTGTAATGTAATTAAATGATAATTTTTGTTTGTTGCTTTTAAAAATATTCTATTTTGTGGTTAATTGAATTGAAACAATTTTTTACGGGTTTTCAAATGACAAACATTATTTTAAAGTGTTGTGACATCCATATCTTGTGTACGAAGGGTATACGGAAGTGATGTGACATTATTTTAAATTATTGGTATCAAAGCTATAAGTTTAGCAGATTCTCGGTCGAAATCGAACTTAAATGAGCTGTGAAAAAGGATTACATGCCATTAAGATTGCCAAAGTTACTGATAAGGTGTCATTAGAGTGTAATTGATGACACTCCTTACTAACAGTAATGTTGTTATTATATATGTTCTAATAGATGTAGGAACTAAGGAAAAAAGTAAGAAAGTTGATACTATTGAAAAGAATGTCGAGATTAAAAATCGACCTAAGAGAATTCAACATGATTTTAGTATCATGTTGTAAAAGGATAAAAGCTGCTAGAGATTTTCCTCCATTATGGGGAAAGTAATGCCTCATTGTTAAAGATGATTCTGCATATGAGGAATCTATTAAAAAAAGTTTGAACGGTTTACAAGAGAAGTTTAATTGAATGAGGATTCAGAAGAGATATCTGAATATAGTATTGATTCCGAGATTTATGCAGGTAAGCTTAATTAGTTGAGAAATATTTAAGTGAAACATTAAATTGTTCAAAGTATTGTTAATTTGAGTAAGAGGAAAATAGTAAGCGGTAAATACACTGACTGCTAAAAGCCTATAGAAGATGAATTATTAGTGGATCAAGTGATTATGAGTTTGTTTAAGTGTAATTTGGGTTACTAGTGTAATTTTTGCATTAATTGCTATGAGGTTATTCCTACAAAGTTGTCAAGTCTTATTATTTAATAATGTGGATAATTAAACTTTCATAGTCGTGAGATAAAATGTTTCAATTGCTCAAGAATATTTTAATTAGATCTGGAAAGTTACACGGAATTCTCTCAAGAAGGAAATGAAAGATTTTAGAATAAAAGTATCTTATTCAATTTAATCTCGAGTGAGATGATAGCAGTAAACCCTAGTGGATCGTGGTGCAAAGATGAGTTGGACAGATAGTAAACAATTGATAAAGATTCCAGGGGCTATGTTCTCGGTGAACTTGATGAAATTATCATTGATGAGTTGAAATCATATTGAGCATAAGTTGTTTGTCTCTAGAAACAATTATTTCAGAAAGATCCAGATGGTATGAAAATTTTAGTTTTAATGAGAAAATAAAGCCAACGCTAAGGGTGATATTGATAAAGATTGTAAAGAAAATGATGTTAGAAAGATATATATATATATAGCTTTATGGTTAATGTGACAGATACTCAAATCATTAAAGTATAAATGTTTGATAAATTCACAAAAATTTGGGAATGCATAGATGTCTTTTCAGGTAAATTTAATGAATTATTTCCATATCAAAAGGTAGAATTCAAGGTTAATAGTTATTAAGATATTGAACATGTTTTTATGATTTAGTATTAAATGACTTAAGTGAGTTAAGAGAATTAGAGACTCAATTATAAGAGTTGATTGATCAAAGTTTTATCAACTCGAGTATTTCATCTTGGGAAGTATGTGTGTTATTAGCAAAAAGGAAGATAAATCTATGTGGTTATGCATAGATTTTGACAGTTAAATAAGACTATTCGAGAGAATAATTTAGTTGTCAAACTATTCAAGTGTGAAACTTTGGTTAGCAGAGATGGTTTTCTGTGACCATATTGTTTCGACATAAGGTATGAGAGTAGATCTTAAAAAAATCTCATGTTGTAGTAAATTGAAAACTCCTAAAGAATGATCCTGAAGTTTGGATTTCTTAGGTGCTTGTTGTTTACTATCGAAGGTTAGTGAAAAACTTTTCGATGTTAGCTTTGTTGCTAACCAAGTGTTAAG